CAAATTCGTTCATACTGGTATTGGTTGTTCAGCGAATCAGATCTCTGTGTGTTTCTGAAGTTCAGGTAGCATTCGCTAGTGTCCATCGTTTCCAGTGTCAATGTAGTATCAGGTAAAGCTGTGAGTAGTTTGCCGGAACCCTGTCCTGCAGAATCGATGCCAGGCAATCAAGAGTGGTTGCATGTGGGCTGGGTTACAGCAAGATTACTCCGAACTTTGTAGGTTCGAACAAGTTTTACGTGGATTACCAACCGAACATCTGGATCGCTGCGCCAGCGGCACAAGAGATACTTCCGGAAAGACTGAAACTAAAGTGTTACGGTACGAGTAGTTTGGCTCGGTGACTGGGATTCCACCAAATTCTATATCAAACGATGGTCCATTTTTATTGCCACCGCCTTCGGATCTTTGTGGACGCGCGATTTTGACTAAGTAAAATATGATGATCGTTAGCCAGACTTCAGGTCAAGCAAACGGTCGATCGCTGTGCCACATAATTCCACTGCGCATGCAACTATAGTTTGAATACGTGCTTCGCATCCCTAGACAGCGGTAATCTTACCCTGCTTTTCAGTTGCGTGGAGATGACGGACAGAAGCGACACCAAGGGGGCCAACGTGCTGCCCTGGCTCAAAGTGATAGGATGTCAATTACAATATAGCTGAAGTTAGTAATTTTCGAATACCAGGTTAAAAACGGATAAACAGTGAGGACGTCAGGATGAAAGATCGAACATGGTCAAGGACCGTGGCCTGTGGTTGACATGTTATGAGATGCCACTACTCTGACCTAAGCATCCTAACTCCTTTCTTGAAGCCTTAACATCCGCAATATATATATATATATATATATATATATATATATATATATATATATATATATATATAGTCATACCACAACAGCCGTCGCGCAGTGGTGGAGGAGCGAAAAGGGGCCGCTTTATCTGCCGCATGCAGCGGGGTGAATAATGGAAAACATGTTAGCACTGACACCTCACTTCTTCCTCCTCCCCTGCACATACTCTCCCAGTGACAAATTCACCTAGCCCACTACTTTCCCCAATCCAAGTGACTGCGTAAGCGATTGGCCGCCAACGCAAGCGTATTCCTCTGCGCAAAGCGCCAAACATCGGGTACTGGCATGTGCGCACACTGTTCGACCGTAGCAAGAGTAAATGCTTCGGGCGATCACTGCACTGGTCGCGATGGAACTCGCGCGCTATGGCACTGACATTGTCACACTCAGTGAAATACGGCTGGCTGAGCAAGGGAACCTGCATGAGGATGGTGCTGGTTATATGTTCTACTGGTTAGGAGACACCACCACAGCACACGTAAATATCGGGTCGGATTTGAACTATCCGACCGCCTAAATGGCCAAATGGTGGCAGAGCTGATTGGCATTAGCTCACGACTGATGACTCTGCGTCTGAAACTTGGGTGAGGCAAAGTTGCCACTTTTATTAGCACGTATGGTCCCATCATGTGTCATGCTAATGAGACGATGGATCAGAGCTACACCCAACTGTTCTCCGTGATACAGTCTGTGCCGATGAGCGACCGGCTATTCATACTGGGTGATTTCAATGCACGCGTTGGGCATGATGCCGCGAATTGGACAGACGTAATCGGGCCGTATGGTATTGGCACAAACAATGGGAACGGTGACCGGCTGCTCTCACTGTGCGCCACTTACGGCTTGACAATCAGGAACATCCGGTTTGCATTGAATGCGAGTGATATTGCTACCTGGACGCACTCCCAGAGTGGTCGCGTACACCTGCTTGACATACGTGAAATGCGCATGACATGTGTACTGCGTGGAGCAGAGTGGGGCACTGATCACAAATTGGTGCGGACCCAAATGTAGATTTAATGTTGTAAATCTATCTACTGCTCACCTACCGTGAACCGGTACAAAGTTAAGATTCTTTTCGCAGGTACTATTGATAAGCGGATGAAATTACAGAACGTGATGACAAGCCGTCTGTGGCGAGGTCGACTGCACCGCATTAGTCTGCCACCTGTGGTGCCTTATCGGTGAACAGGTGACGACTGCGGCCTAGGAAACTATCTGGTGCGCAAACTGTAAGCAGTCCGATAGGTTTGATGACAACAGTAGAAGCAATGGAGCATTGGTGTTGGAGAAGAATGTGGCATTCGCTACAATTGTGATGGAATAGACAAACTCGGAGGAGAGTTTACTAGGTAAACTTCGACGGCGACTGATTCGAGAGCTTTGTCGCAACAAGAATGCATGGTGGGCCGGGAGGTGAAGCAGATAGAATGCTATGCCGGACATTGCCAACATAAGGAATTCTTTGACTCATTGAAGGCGGTGTGTGGTCACACGTTGCAGCCGCTGAGGACGTTGCTGGATGATACTGTAGGCGCTGTCTACACAAAGACTACAGACAGTGCAGATCTGGACTGTCTCTTGTAAAACCGTTCAGAGATTGACTGGATTGCGTTGCACGAGCTGGAACAAAAAGAAAAAGATGTGTCTTGCCGACTTACCGACACTGTATGAAAAGCAGAGAGCATATGCTCAGTTGCGAAACTACAAGTGTTCTGGTTCCTACAGGACACCACCAGAAGTGTTGAAACACGGCGGATCTGGGTTGGTAAATGCACTGCACCACTTGGTGTAACGCGTGTGGATTAAAGAAGAGGTGTCGGATGACTTAAAGAATGTCCATGTGTTACCACTGTACAAGGGCAAAATGAGTAGGCAACGTGCCAAGAATTATCGTGGCATCAACTTGTTGAGCTGTGTCGGTAGATTGATCGCACGAATCCTATTAAACCGCCTCGTCACTCAGGTCAGTGAACCGAAAGTGGCGGAAGAGTAATGCAGATTCCGTTCGGGACGCAGTACCATAGATATGGTGTTCAAGACTCGTCAGTTGCAGGTGAGTGCAGAGAGCGGCAGCAGCCATCGTACACGCTGTTTGTTGAATTCACCAAGGCATTTGACACAGTAAACCGCGATGCACTGTGGCTTATGTTGGGTAACTTTGGTTGTCCGAGTAATTTCGCATGTCTAATTGAATGCTTGTAATGGTATGCGGCCGAAGATGCAGCTATGTTGGTGTTGTCTCCGATGTAAATCAATGTTGTGGCTTAGTCCCTGTCCAGTGTAATATCCACCTAACTGCCATGATGTATTGTACATGTAATGCTTGTGACCACGGTGTCCGTGTGAAGTAGCGTAATAAAGGTGCGTTGCTGAACAGCAGCCGTTTCGAGACGAGAGCTACAGTGTGTGAGACAACAGTTCGTATGTTGCCGTTTGCCGAAGATTGTGCGCTGTTTCCATGCAGTGCGGCAGCACATGACTTCGGCTTTCGCTTAGACAGTGGCCAAAGTTGGGCTTGTCAAAAGCACAAGCAAGACTTTGTGTTTTTCAGTCTTCCTCAGAAGTAAAATTCGTGCACCGGCAACAAATGCAGATTGGTATCGAGGTTCTGAAAACCACCAGAATTTGCTACCTAGAGGACGTACTCTCCATCGACCGGCAGATGATGAGCTGGGCATCCGCTTATCGAAGGCCGTTGCATTTGGAATGCCGGAGAATCGTGTGTGAAGAAATCATCAGCCTACTAAAGAGATGATGATGGTGTACCAGTCGATGGTACTGTCTGTTCTTCTGTAGGGCAGCGAAACATGGACGCTGTACCGAAAGGACGTCAGAGATCGGGAGCGCTTTCAAGCACAGCGCCTGCGTCGAATTCTGCGCAACGGCTGGGTTGATCGAGCTGCTGAGGCGGAGGCGCTCCGTCGCAGTGGCATGTATGATTCAGCTGAGGCCCTTGCGATGGCTAAGATATATCTGCCGCATGAATTCGTCGAGGATACCGAAGCAGGTGCTGCATGGTCAACTTAGTGTCGGGAAGCGGAACACGGGCAAAGTGAAGTTACCTTATCAGGACATGATCAAGGTGAGTTTATCATGAACCAACGTTAATCTTAGGTGTGTTGAATCAAAGGCAGCGGATCGACGCCAATAACATGCCCACCGAAAGAATGCAGTTGAGCAGATACACGAGCAAGTTTTGCTACGTCATTAAAACAAACGCAGGCTGGGGAAGCGGCAGGCGTTGATGGAGTCTAGCCTGTCGACATAAGCGCATGTCACTGTAGCACATGTGGTCATGAGTGCCTCAGCCAAACCGGTCGGGCAAGCTACCAGCTTGGCCACGAGGGGCAAAACATGAAAGAGGCGATGAGATCACTGAACAGTTAAGCGTTATCGGCAAAGCGCTTGGCATACATGCTGTTCCGATTACATTTACTAATCCTGGGAAACTATGAGGTGGATGTCGCACGTGTGCAACATCATAACGGCAGTTGCTCTGTAAGTGTGTCTGCCTCCGTGTTGCATTTCTTGCACATCAGGTGCTCGATGTTGATTGATATTCCCAGTGTGGCTGCGACGGAATCGAATGTTGGCAAGGTGCATACTTGTCGAAAAATCGTTACCTCGATTATACACTGACTCCTGGAGACAGTTGGTCATTGCTTGGGGAGACGGGGTGCACGGTCCCCGTGATCATGCTAGACTCAAAGCGTGGTACCATCTAGTGTGGAACGGGCTACAGCCCAGCCACCGCTTTGTGTTCGCTTTAGTATCAAAACCAAAAGAAAGTAAAATACCGGCTGAGCTGTCCAGGGCACTAAATGACGATATCACAACCCTAGTGACTACAAGGACTAGGGATATCATTCCATTAGGCGATCTCGACCATTCGCTGAATTAAAAACATAAACATGATAAGTCAAAAGTGAATTAGGTCAGAAAGGGGAAAATCTTGGTGGGTTCAGACCGACGAAACCCAGAAGCGGAATAAGAAAGGAAAACAATTCCAACAGGTTCGAAATCTGAACGATTCTCTAAGTTGGGCTATGAGGCAAGCGAACTGATTGAAGCCAAGCGCTAAAATCGGCTTAGAATCTGAGTCAAAAGGGAAAGTAAACGCCCGTGGAGAAAAAGGCAAGTACTTGGAAGCTAGTCACATCCTTTCCACCGACCACGGCACCAGGATGATGAAAGTTGATTCGTAAATAGGTGTAGTCTGCCTCGATGGAGGTGGAAACATTTTTTAGCGTACTGATGTGAAACGGAGTAGGCATGCCGAATATAGGCAGGATGATTGTTTCATATTTCTTATCTGGAAAGGAAGCAGAAGAGAGTAAATTAAGAATGGTGGGACAACAGATCACACATGAGGTACAGAAACGAGGAACAGGGAGAGCGCTGAGACAAGATGACGATGTCATCCAGTTTACCAACGACTGTGAACAAACAGCATATATCGAACGTTCCTCAAGAGCGTTAATCAACAAACTTGTTCTGGGCAGGCCGGATAACCAGGAAAATGACTAGCGCGACCATGATAACTCAAAAAGGTTAGCGTGAGCCGCATGATCACTACGCCCTATACATGCAAGACAGAAGGAAAGCCACGAAAAAAAAACAAAGTAAACGCAACACTTGGTGTCTGGCGTATTTTCTTAGTGGAGAAGGAAACAAAGAAAGGCATTAGCACTATGTCGGCACGCAGTAGCGACGGTTCGCTGCTGCACAACCACCATCAGTCGCACATGGGCTAAGGATAATGCGAGAGTCGTCCGATCCATAAGTAGGTTCGAAGCCACGGCCTCAGATTACGAGGTATGCTTGTGACCCTTAAGGTTATGGGCCAGGTGATATTTTCTTAGTAACACTGGTGAAGTATGAAGTAAGGGGGATTTGGACAAGAAAAAAAGATTAAGCAACAAACATCCCATAGAAACACCGAAAACAGAGGAGCAGTGGTCATTGGTGGAGCTACAGATCACCAAAGGTACATGCCAAGTGCACTGGTAAGTTCGGTAACAGAATATATAGAATAAGAATGTTTGCGATATACTTCACGCTGTAAAATGTCCTACATCCACTTGAAAGATAAGCATTTTTCTGATTTATCATTCGCATTTTGTAGAGGTGCAAGATAAGATACAAAATTTCTGTCATAGTTGTTTTTTTCAAGATTTCAACCGTTAGTTCATATTTCTTACGCAATAAGCCGTTACTGGATTGTATCAATCGAAAACTGAATACTAACTGTGGTGTCGCTTAACATGAAATATCCAGGTAACTTTGTGATAAATAAGTGTTTGCTCATTGTATTGGTCCAGAAAAACACCGTATACATAATTTCAGCTGTTATTACTTGAGGGGCCAGCATGTATTTCTTTTAAATGCCTTGCATCGCGCAAGCATTGAACGCACCAGCAGTTGGAGATATTCGTAGGTGATGACACCATTCTAAACATAAGTAAGAACACAGATAGGTAAAGGACACAGCTGTAATGTGTACACACGACCAAGTCACTGGTTCGCTTGATAATCTGGACATTTATTCACACACATGAGTCACGTGCATCGCCAGACAGACCGTGTGGCTTGTGATAACCAATCACAATAAGCAAGGGAGTCAATAAAGTTCTTTTTAGCGGTTGGCTATTTCTTTGATATTTCTGATGGTAATTTGTACCGCAACTTTCAACCGGATTTAAATCTGAGGATTGAGCTGGCCGTCCGAGTATCTTCACTTCTTTCTTCATTCATTCCGCAATTATTGCACCATGGCATGGCGTATGGTCATTCTGGACAGAGTAGGTATCTGAGCTGATGGTAACATATAGTTTTTGAGGATCTCCACATATTTGCGTGCATTGAAAAGGACATTAAGGATATGGAGCCTCCCAACTCCATTAACAGCCACGCAAGCCCAACTCCTGGTCTCTGTTAGATGCTTGGCAGAGAGATGGAGATACTGTGATTTGTATTCCTCCCATGCAAGCCATCAGACCAATGTGCTGTCATGATCCCCAAGAGTTCAGAAGTGACTCTCCTTGTTAAATATATCTCTCCCAACCCTACTTGATCCAACCTGTATGCTTGCTCGTCCACACCAGCTTTCGTTTCCTTCGCGTATCAGGCAACAGTAGTTTCTCCCTTGCCATGCAGCCTATGAGACCGAATTCCAAGCACCGTCGTCTTACTGTTGAAGTGCACACATCCACTGAACACTTCTTCCATTCCCTCATAAGCTGAAGAGATGTAAGTTTCCTGTCCTTCAAGGATAACCTCAGCAACCCCCAGTTATCTCAGTCTGTTGACTTTTTGGGCCAGCCAAATCCGTACCTGTCATCTGTGTTTCTAGCCCCAGTTTGCTTTTTAATAGGTCTGATGACTATGCAGATGGAAATTGGGTGTTGCCCGCCCAACGCCCAAGTTCCATCTGCTTCGGCTACGGTCCAGTGATCGCAGTGACCAAGGTTCACTTAAATGTGAATCGCGGTCTACATTGAGATTGCGTGTCGCAATCCAATCACACAACGTGTAGTCCGAAACTGACCCTCCAACCTGATGACTATGCTTTGATTACAGCTAACAATCCCGTAATTTCCCTGATAAAGAAACCGTCTTCATGTAGCACCAATAATTTAACTCGCGCATCGAAGCCCAGATACTTAAAGGATCTCATGATGAAAGCTTAGTCTGGCAAACAAGTGTTATCAGTTAGCACTAAAACTCTCTTCAAATTCACGAATATGTGCGCTATTCTATTGTTGGTCAGAAATGCAACATCTCTTGTGGACGAAAATCAAATTGACTGAAAGGTCGGTTTTGATTCCAATTTAACACATTTAAAACATTATGCACAGGCCACAGTGTAAAGGTTACACCACCCAATTTTGTGACTAAAACGAACAAGCACAAAAAAACACTAAAATTACAGGAATAATAATTTCTGGGTAAAATGATATGCAAGTTTTGTTTAGACGACAAAGATATCAGACTACAGAATTACTTATTTGTTCAAGGTGATGCAGGACTTTTTCAAAGAGCCGTATATGTAAGCCGCAACGTGTTTGGAAGGCTTGAGCAAGGCGCTTTCATCGGAACCAAATCAACAAGCAATGCAGAAGCTAGATACCGGTGCTACTAACATTCATTTATTAATACTAATATGTACGAATCTCGACTATGCGCGCGTCCAGCACCATTCCGTAATAACAATTTCAATCCGTTCCAAATAATACTAATAAAGATAAATTAATAATGTGTCAGTTGTACGACGTAACAGCGCTTCGCTGCCACGCGACCACCACCAGTCGCACGTGGGCTGAGTATACCGCGAGGACGCCCGCCCCTAAAAGGAATTCGAACCGGTGACCTTATGGTTACAAGCGTGCAGACGTGCAGACCACTCAGCCACCGGCCGATATGACTTCAAAATGACACTAACATAAACTAATGGTGTCTTTATAAGCGGCTTTTACATAGCACGTGCTTCAAGAGAGCCGACCAATGGGAATTTGCGGCACAAAGTTGTGAGGTAAACAGAATACGTAAAGGTGCACGGATGAATGGGTTTCATCCATGAGCGCACATATCAATGTTCCATCGATGTGGGGTCACTAAGAGTACAGTGTCCCGTTTAACAACCATGGACTGGCTTACGCTAATGTACAGCCATTATAAGAACCCGAACAACAGAACATGCACTGTCAAATGGAACTTGCATCACGCCGTCTCGTGTTCCATACGGTCTACCAAGCAAATTTGGGCACAGTCGGCGGGACGGATGACCTGACGTCGCAGACAAGATCCGGCCCACAAGTCGTAGTTTGGTGACCTTTGCTCTAGTGGAACGTTTAGTTCCGACGTGACATAAGGCGGTGAGCATCATGAATTAGATGGATCAGTGAAGGCAGACATGCACAGCCATAACTACACCAAGAGACCATCTAGTGTCATCAGCGTGGGCAAGTCAAGAACAGCAGGAAACGAACACGGTGCGAGGAAAACAGAAAATACTTGGCGGCCGAAGCGGTACACTATACGTTTCGGTGATTATACTAAAACACAGCCTGGATAAACAAAAGGCTTGTTCTCCCACCAACTCTAGGCGGGAAAGAATGAACCAAATACATGTGGGAACACAATACCAATGGTGCACGAGTGATCGCGATAAACGGAAGGAAAACAATCAGGAATTAAACCAGGAAAGTTTTCAGAGCGAATTGGTTGCCGAAGAACACTTGTATCACAGTGCATAATATGAAATAGGGATATTGGAAAAAACCAACCGACAAACAGCCGTAAGCGCTGAATATCATCCTCCTTTGGCATCTGACCAACGCCTCTGTAAGCCACAGTTGATTTAGCCTTCGTGTCCAAGCCGGTATCCGTTTTAAGACCACCCAAACGCTCCGTAGAATGTTTCACCAACAAATCAAAAAGCTCTCGCCGCCTGCTCATTCGCTTCTCCTCTGCCGTTTGCTCGCTCTGAAAAGAAAAGGTCGAGCCGAAATGGAACACTTACATATATCGATGGGGATGCAATTCAACGACAGAACATGAAAATTGGCAGATGTCAAGTGTCTAATGATGAAGACATCAGGGCCCCACTCCTTAAACAAGTCGTGCATTCGGTAAAGTGAATGGATGACATGCTGAGCGCAACATATGTACTTCTGGCAATTTTACACTGATAGATTTAGTCACCTAAGCGAGTGGAATGATGATGCAACATATGGAGGTGGTAACTGGCATATATTTTGAGACAGTGTCCGCCAAGTTAAGCTACTGCGTGATTCACAAAAGCTACAGACAGTGTTTCTCGATGAGAATGGACAATGTCAGCAGTGCCTAGGGGACGCTGTCACAAAGACCCCGATGTGTATAGATATAAGAATGCTACAATTTAAGTCACACGAAAACGCTGTACCCTTATGTCAGCGCATAAGCGACATGAGCAGCTAAAACAAGAAAGGTTTGATTCAATGGTAAAATGGTTAACTGGAAACAGAGTTCTACACTGTATAGGGGGGTTTCAATTACCGGGTACTAGTTGACAACGCAGCATATACGTACCCGAGTCTTCTGTTCAATAATAGCCCGACGATGACCACGTCCAAGAATCTCTTCCGTACTGCCATTCGGCAACGTCCTTTTTGAGCTTGAAACTCTGGAATCTACACCATTAGCAACCGGTTTTCGGGAATCCTTCATATCGTGGTCATCCTCAGCCTCTCCGTCCTCATCATCCTCTTCACGGATGTATAGACTGATGGACTTGGGGCGTCGTTTAGCAGCTAAAGTGAATACGGTATTGGTACCATTCTCTCCCACTCCGATAGCAACCACGTCACCCAACCAGAGGGCGTACTCTTTGTCCTTAGAATTCTCAGCTTTGGGGTTCTTCAGATTCTATGGAGAACAGTGCAGATAATAAAATGCGTTGGTGAAACACTAGATGTATCCCAGATAGTAAATGCCAATCGCGAATTGATATCCAACGCACAGCCAAAACGTGGTATATATGAATTTTATTGTGCAATAAACAGTATACTGACCTGGAAACCAATATTGAAGTTGACCGTCATACCTTTACGGAATACGCCAGTGCTCTTGGAGGTTAACAACTGAAGAGAATCGCGAAATTCGATCCCAGTGACGAAGCTAAGGTGAATAGATAAAGGAACGTTGCATTCTCAACGGGAGAGCAGAGTGGTGCTAACAACCATGGGGATTAAAAACGGTGATTGTGACCCGACCAACTGCGGAATACAATCACCGTAATCCATCGTGAAGTAACATGATAGTAAGAAAAGTAAAAATAAAGTGGTACGCAATAGTACATGATTATGCCCGAAAGAGATCCAGAGTTATAAATGGTCAGTTCGCAATCGTCGACAGATGTAGAATAGCGCGAGCCATGCACTGGTGCTGAATGAAAATATGAAAAACAACAGCATCTACAGTTTAGGAAAAGGCCTGCCGTTAAATGGCAGCCAGTCGCCTGCATTCGCTTTGAGCATCGACGACGAGCAGATGAAGGTATTTGAGTTATTCATCTACCTCGGTAGCTGCATAAATGACGACGAGTGTGTGACTGACGAAATTAGGCAATGAAATATTCCAGGATGGGTAAAAATATTTAAAAATTAAAAACAGTCGTCCTGCATGTGAGAACATAATCAATACTGCAACTAATGAACTATTCCTATGTTAGGAACCGTTTGTCACACTTTGCAGAAATATATGTATGTAATGAATATGGTCAAACGAATAGTGTGAATCGCGTGCGAAACCCGGTGTCAAAATCTGTGTACACAGTGAGATCTGTTCTCCTGCAAGGCAAGGAAATTTTGGGCGCTTTGGGATCTCTAGTCATCGCGCCATTACTCCTGTCGAGTAGGACTTGTGTAACCTCAAAAATGGGGTGCGTGAGGGTGAGCTAAACAGCGATGATTAATTCTGTTTACCAGATCAACATGATACGTCAGCCTAAACATGTGCCCTGTATACCCGCAAAATGCAAAGGACTTTGAATCTTAAGTGTGATTTTGCACGGAGTGAGGTCTGGAGAGAAACAGAGCTACTGATGACCAGATTGGTGAGTCGGTTCATACGATTCACTGCATTTGTCCGGCGACTATACAAGAAAGGACACGCAACCAGCATCAAGCAATTATTTGTTGTCGTTCCGTACCCCGACTGCTAAAGATGCGTTTGAGGCTGAGCTAAGATGGATTACGAGGAAGGGTAGCGAAGACTGCAAATATGTTGTTTAGGTGATGCCACCATGGTTTGTTAATTTGGTCATGCGGTTTCGGTAAGATGCAACTGCCCGGAATATGACTGTTAAAGTCCTTTATACCATATGGTAGACCCCAATTCACTCTCAGTTTTGATACTTAGTGAGAAGACTATTTAGCACAATTTCTAGTTGTAAGGCAGTGAATCACAAACACGACGTACTGGTGGACAGAAGTTAATGTCGATGGTGTCAACAAGCTCTCTCCAAGTTTCAATGACCCGAAAAAAGTTGCAAGGAAACTGTAATGAACCGTTTACGATGTCGTCATAACTGGTGACGAAAAGTCTGCAACAAACGTGTCCAGCTCGGAGAACCACCTGATCAGCCAACCTGATCTACAGGTATACCGACTGATGGCAAATGCTATTTTAAGAGTTATGTAGTGAAGTAGAGAATACGCGTATGAAGAGGCAAGTGCTAGTCAACTTACCCGAATGATTTGATGAGGTTATCCGCCAATTCGGGTCGCTCGGAGATCAACTTTTTCTGCAGCGATTGACAAAAGTCCGCGATCTTGACACCTAACGAAATGAGGAACAATGGTTGAGAATGGATGTATGGAGGTTGACACAGGAACCAAAATATTCAGTGTAGACTGGCATATAACGATGAACAAAGGTGCATGGCTAGACGCTGGAAACATGGCTAGCCAGGAAAAGCTACAGATGGATCCACGGTTATCATGAGGCATATTCACAGGTGTCGACTGATTGTAGTTTCCGAGTGCCGCGGTGGACAGCCAATGACGTGGAGATGGAGCATAGAAAAGGCAACTTCAAGTTTGGTGCCAGTTGGATCAGTCCGTCTCCCAGGTTGGGGAACACGAGATTTTGAATCTCAGTGGTTGGAAACATTGGATGTCATGGTCCGCAAAAGATATCAGTGGCGTCAATGTTGTTCTGCTATTTTACCCCCCCCCCCTTTGACGCACACAAAGCTCAGAAAACAAAAATCAAAATGGCGTGTGTAAAACCGAAAAAAACCGTTTCCCATTTTTCATCTCCATTTTTTGCTTCTGCCATGCTTCTGATGGCATAATGTCTGTTAACAGACTCCACCAATTTACATGGTGAAGCGTTAGCACTATGCCCTCTGGGATTCAGCGACAAAGTAACAGCTAAATTGGTGGAAAAAACAGCATACTCATGAGTAAGATGAAAAATTGTATCGAAAAAGACGGCTGATCGCCTTACCCGGTTTCATCTCGGATATGGCCCATTCAAACAGGTCGTGCATGTAGGAGTACGTCGCAGACTGGTTTTCTGTCGGATTAACCATCAGTGATCGGATCACGTTTGAACAATAGGACTGGTAGCGGATTCCCAAAGAACAAACAATGGTTCCAAAATGCAGATTGCGATCATCACTGGAAAACAGGAGATGCAAGTCTGAACAAAAGCGGACTCGAAAGTGAAGGAACCGTAACTCAAAAACTGGTTGTAAGCGTCGATGGTTTGAAGGACGGGACAAGCGCGTTGCGCAAAGATGGATGAGTGATCGACTGGAGGCGGACATACTTGTTGAAGCTTACCGGGCGTGGAGTCAACGGACTAGTAAGCCGGATGTTAATGGATGGAGTTGGAGGGAAAACCATAGACATATCAGAAAATCATGATCGATATGGATGATATGTCAAACCACAATGCGAAGAACATGTGTTTTGCATTATCACGAAATCCAGACCAAAGAATAACTATGGTAATGTAGCTTGTCGTCCGATATGAGCTTTCCGTGTTGAAACGAAACAAGGCTCCAGGACCCGACGAGCTTCCGCTTTCTTCGCTGAAAGATGGTGACTTTGTTGACTTGATTCGGGACACTGAGGAAGTGCGTTCAGACTGGCGAGTATCAACAGTCGTGCCCATCTTCAAGAAGAATCAGCGTACTTTGTGGGAAAATCACCAAAGCATTAGCCTTATTTCCATTGCCTCAAAACTTATGGTTATCGACGACTTACTGGTCCCTGTGAGGACTGAATCACTGAAATTCAGCCTAGCTTTGGCCCTGGCCGTAGTTACAACGACCACATATTTACTCTTCGCCAAATTTTAGAGCAGAGGCACACATACACGACTGACTATAGTGGTTTTGCTTGATTTCAAAACCGCCTTCGACTCTGTTGACTGAAACAGCTTGTGACACTGCCTATCCACAAAGCGTCCGCCTGCTAAACTCTTTTCCATTCTGAAATCCCTCTACCGTGATTCCCGAGGCCGTGTAAGGGTCTACGGGAAACTGTCTCCTGAGTTCCCCACAACAAGTGGGATTAGCTAGGGTTGTCTGTAGTTTCCTCTTCAACTTCGTGATCGAAATGATTATGAATGACTCGGTTCTCTCAGACTCTACCGGAGTGGAAGTTCTCCCAGGTGATCGACTGACAAAGCTGGAGTATGCGGACGGCATAGCTCTCCTTGGGCCAGATGCATTGTGGCTATACTAACACAACTGCATAGACTGGTGCGCAGCGCTGCACGCTTCTGCAGGTACTTCGCCCCTTTAAAGTGCAAAATGCTATTGTAGGACTGAACCGACACATCTCCGGTTTTAGCTATTCAAGAACAGCAACTGAAAGTGGTGGATCGCTTCACTTACTTTGTTAGCTGTGCAACCCCTGGTGGTCCACATTACTGAGGAAGTTACTTCGCGTGTTATTCCAGAGGCCCAACCATCTATGGAGACGGCGAGATATCAGCTTGTCAGTACAATGTAGGGCATATATCGTTGCGATAAGGCTAGTGTTCCAGTATGGGTAAAAGATCTGGCCATTTCGTAGTAAAGACATTAAACGCTTAGCCATGTTTGACCACCGGCGCCTGCAAAGTATTGTTAACATTTAGTGCGAACACAGGGTGAGGAATGCTGAGGTCCGCCAGTTGGTTTTTAGCAAGAAGCCTTCTGGTGCATTTCTCGAGTGCTCGTAAAACTTAGTCCCTTGCGTTGGCTAGGTCATGTCCTCCGTATGTCCGTTGGTCGGCTTCCTCGGCGTGTATTATACGCCGTGGCTGCATCAATTTGGGCGAAACCGCGAAGTGGCCACTTCCTGGATGGGGACTTCGGGACAGTCCACACCAATAGTTGAAGACCGTGTCAGACATGACGCAGTCATGAAGTCAGTGGCTTTCCTGCATTCGATTTCTTTCCTCTGGTCATTAATTTTCGTTATATTCTGATTAATCTAACGCATTTCCTTCTTGCTTCAATTTCCTCTACACTCTATTTGCAGCCAAGCCCACTCCCTTCCGCCGTTAGTTATAGTTATTCTTACGATGTCAGAGGTGGCAAGTAGATTCACCACACTTTGGTGCTCGGATCATAGTCGATCAACTGAGCTGAACTGCTTGCGGTCCATGGTAATCCTGCAGCGAAAAAGAACTAAGGGAGAGTAAACCTCAGGACACATGGTGTCACGTTCCATTTGTCTAACACTCAAAGATCCCTGGTTATGAAGCGTGCACCCAAAATAAATGTTAAGGTGCTCACGTAATTTAGTAAGATCGTCTTCAGGATTCTACAACGCAAATGTGATGATGTTGATCCGCTGCTTATTCTAATAAAAGCCGATAGGAGAAACCTCGTTAGAACAAAGGAGCCATCCCCAGCTTCGCCGAATAGGGACTTAACAATAAGTAGATTCCCTTTTGAAACAATAGAGAGAAATAGTAATCAGGCAACCAAATAGGGAGGAAGACGTCTCGATGAGGACACAGTAAGTGCATGTGTTACGTAGGCGACGTTTTCGAGAAAGACACGATGAGAAAACGCCATAGAGTAAAGTACCGTGCTGGTGTGATTAAGAGAAAAAAATGAGGTAGTCAGTTCAAACTGAAGAGAAGGAAACCCCGGATGTGCGCACTAGGTCGAGAGAAAGTGCGATACTGAAAGGGTGGTACTAAGCTCACCAATCTCTCCAGAGGTCGTTGCAAGTACTAAATCAGTGTATCGTGCATATCGCGGAAACTCATTACATGCAAGATATAACAAGTGATTATCAAAAATTTTTACCTTTCGATACTGAACTTCAGATTGAAGTTACCGCCACTCTGGATAATCGGATCGTAGCATAATTCCAAGCTGTCAGGATCAAGACCGTTGAGAAGATTGGTCTTCTTTAAAGCTGACTGGCATCCGTTGGAAAGCTTCTCATGTTTGACTTTCTGTGGTTCAATAGTTAAAAAGATAAGTAAAATGATTCATGAACTATTCGTGATGACGAACAACCAAGGAATATGAGGTCCGTTGAATGCAATGGAACAAGAACCAACCGATGTGATACAGACTGTTTCACACTTTCGCATATACCTAGCAAATTGAAGACGAAGGGCATTATGAGTAAGTATGGATTCCAGGTAGAAAATCAACCGGACTCATCCGCCAAGGAGGCTGACTCCCATCCCGTGGTCAAATCACAAAAAATGGAATCCAGTCCACAACAAAAAGATCGGTGTAGAAAACAGAAGCAGTAACAAGCAATGTAAATGGTGAAAAGCCAATGGGATCGTTGTTAAGAGAGAGTAAAACTGGGATACGACTGCTCTCATTGCATGACAAAGTATCGGTGAGATGATGACAGCCAGTATAACAAGCCGGAGTCTCGGTATTAGTTGTAGTGAGAGAAACCCTATTCAACAGAAACTAGATGTCCTCCACTCAAGAAGACAGAAACAGTATTACATCCTCGTAGGCTTTGCTAGAAGTCGGCTGTGACGGCATCTGTCGTAAACGAAAATAGGTGGTGAAATACAAGAAAAAGCAGCAGTGGGCCAAGATACATTCAGTGTCTCGAAACGACCGATAGTCAAGGATGGTACAGCACCACCTGAAGAGTAAGGTGAGATAACATGATAGTTGATCGCTGGTCAGTCGCCCAAAGAGGTCAAGTGAAGTTTTAACACCAATGTGATCAAAGAAGGTACCACACAGAAACGATGTAGGACAAGTACAAGGTTGCCATACACGTTTATTTTGTCCGAGCAACCGGAATAAGGCCTACATATGTTGCCTGAAGGTGTTCATAATAAATGCTCACACATACATACTTCTCGCAGCTACAACGTGAGCAGGCTGTGTTACGCAGCTGTGCGTAAACCTCTTGCTTTGATATATCCTAGACGACATCCTGAGTACACTCGACAGTGTTTAGCACTGCACTGTGTTGTAGCCACAGCCGAAGCCAAACAACCTACACACAGACGGCTAGCTATGGAAATCTAGTCAACAAACGAAGATTCGGTTATGGAGCTAATGACAAGACCAACTCCAACCTCGCGTGTGATGGATGTGTTAAAATAACTGAATGGGTGCAACCAAGCAAGAGAACGTAGGTTAGACGCAGTTAGCTAGATGGATGCAAGAAATTGGTGGATTCTTGGTTGGAGATGAAATGTACTTCAATGTGAACTACAAGGTGTGCGTAAGCAAAATTTGCTATCCCAATGCCGTTCGCACACGTGCAGTCCAGCGATTTACTCAACTATGGTTCCAGAAGCGGAGCGTGCTGGAACAGGTAAGTGTGAATCACGACAGTGGGGAAAGTAAGTGGCAGAAGCGCGCAAGAAAATTGTAAAAGATAAAGCTGTCGCAGAATAACTAATATAAAAGATAAGAAGGCAAGAGATCGCAGAGGACACTGAAACCAGTTTCGAGATTGTAATATGTAGTAAAAGGTCGCAAATCGCGGAGCTGCGTACCTATAATCCTCTATCAAGGAAGATGACATACCATAAACGACGACAGTGTAACGGAACGTTGGGCTTGTGCTTCGCCAGAAAGAAACCAAAAAACTGTCAGAAGACTCTAATAACAGGGAATAGGAACAGACCGAAGAAATAATAAAATATAAAACCGAAATGCAACGAGCAGTTAGTACAAAGCGGACAACAGCCGACTATCCCTATAGCAAGCCAAAGGCATCGGTGAGAGAAGTTCGCTGCAACTCTCACAGTCTCGCTGCAGCCCCTGCAAGCTTTGTAAAGTCCAGCAATTACTTTGTGCGTTCTTTCATGTCTCAGACTTCCCAAATTGGGGTTTCAATCAACCAGATGGAGTATCAGAGAACAACATACGCTGAGGGGGTCAATCAACATGCATCCACAGAACATGACTGAGTCAACGTAGATGGTTTGATCGCAAAAGATGGTCTGGTGGCTAAACATCAAGTCTGTGCTACCAAGTGCTATGCTGCAGGTAGTTTCGCATGGTCAACTCGCAGTGGGCATGCTTCTTGTCCATACAATAACACTGGCTGCGATGTAACACCTTGACTCTCTTGTCGTCTAAATGGAAAGCTGAGACTGAAAAAAAACACTCATCCGTTACTAATGTACACTATAATCGCCTTCCTGATTAGATGGGCAATGGTGATAAACCTAGTAAGATAAGTACACCAATCGATCACTCCGAGCAGTTGAACGATAACTGTGAGAATCATTTGTGTGTCGGAGCAGCCTTGTGACAGCAACTTGTATGATGAATTCGTGATCACACGCCGTCGCAAACAGTGCTCTGTACTGATCAATCTAGAGGATGGATTGCCGAACTATCTCCTCGTGGTGTAAGGTGGGTGGCTTGGGATTGTTCTTTTCCGTAAAGTATTCGGTGGCAGCATTTTCATAAAACTACAACAATTACGATGTGACGGATATGACTCACCAGAAAACAAAAGCACCCCCCCTTTGTTTCACTTTTGAGGAGCACAGAATTCTGGCAAGCGTGTGTTGATAACAGGAAGGATTGGGGCCCTGTTCGGTTACGCATTAAAGGTGTATGAACGGAGCAATCTGTCAATGGTTGCCAAATCGGCATGATTTCCTAAATTCGCCATCCTACCTTGCTGACAGGCTATCCAGCCAAAAGCTCAAGACGGTGTCACATAAGACGATTTCCTACTTCGGCTTTGGCAACCCGGTAGTATCACGCCACTAACAAAACCACAGTTGGTCATTTGCTATGTCACGCTCAACTATTCTTAATTCCGCTGCTCATGTACCTTCTTCGTACGCCGCTTCTTCACTGTTGTGCGTAACCAAACGATTCCTGTTTCCATGATTCGACTCTGTGTGCCCATAGAGCTCAACCAGTGACCCTCCTTCGGCCTCCATGCTTGTTCCGTCCGGCATCCTTCAAGGTAGGTACACTAACGCAAATCGCACAACAAGCTGTTCTCGTGCATAACTTAAAATCCCTCATCATCGATGTTTGTTGTCTTTCCAAAACTCGGTTAGAAGATACCAGCACTGCGATTAGGTTTACATGAATCAACCTGATGAAACAGAACCACCTTTAGTAAATTTGGCTGGCGTTGGTGTGGTACTAAGTAGCAAATCCTAGGTCGCATTGTTAGACTGGCTCCTCATTAACAGTTCAACAGTTGCAGTACGGTTTCGGAGATAATGCAGAACAAACAGGCTCCGCTAGAAAACACAACTTGTCTGTGATTTCCACTTACGCTCCAACTAAATGCAGCTGTGACCCGGTCAAGGAAAACTTTTATCGTGAACTTCATCAGCCCTTGAGCGAAATTTGTAGATTCGATATAGTACTTGGGGGGAGTTCAACACTTTGGTATCATCATCATCATCGTTACAGCAAAGTGAAGGTGGGAAACACAACACAGCAGTTGTGCCGCAACGCAAAAATATTAGATGTATGAAAAAACGAGACACTAAACAGCACAGAATACACAACGAAAAGCAAGTAACATAACGCCATCATATTATCTGCGGAGTGAAGCGGTAAGGGGAGGAAAAGGGAAAATCACGACAAAAACGCAATTGAAGGTGGCTCTTCGCTATATCAACAAGTGTATGCAACCAAACGTGTTCATCGTCCATGGGACCCCAGCCGGGCAGTAGGGACACATCAACCGACGCCAAGTTCGAAGTGAGGCACTTCATTCCTCTAGACCAAATCATTGCTCGGCCTCCCCTTCTCTTCTTCCATTCACACCCCCGGCGCACAAACAACGAACATCGAGGGAGTCGGTGCGCTGGCATGCGCAACATGTGGCCCAGTCATCAGAGCGTGATGCGCGATATAAGGGTGTTGAGCGGTTCACTCGCTCTTCCTGCACCAAATACGCGGCACCTAAAAAGACAGGGTAGGTGGTCATCAAGCGCTGGATTAGTCGTTCAGGTAACTGAGAGATTTCCCACACTGTGTGAAGGCAATGGTTTGTTTCGCTAGAGCACCAGCTTCGGTTATACGGAGAAGCGTTCCGCTATTTAGCGACCCTTTCACCAAAGCAAGCTTGGTCTCAAGTTGAGCACAGAGAAATCAGTTCCACAGGATGTGCTAGTGTACGGGATTGCAGATCAATCTGGTCCACATTTCTTGACTCAAACCATGCTATGGCTTGTGCGAACACCTACATGAGTTTCCGATGGTCGCCGAAAACGAAGCATTGTAAGACTGATACAAAATGGCCAGTTGCTCCACATCCTCGGTTCGGCCAAGCTATCAATCTTTCCTGGTAGATGTAGTCAGCTACGATCTACCGCAGGACAATGACCTACACTGGACATTCATACCAGAAGAGGATGATCTCTTCAAGATAGTCAACCTGCGCTCTTAAACAGCACCCTATGACAACATGCGTCTTCATGCACTCCCTGGATCTGCTTGAACATCGCAAACATTCTAGCGGAGTCTGATCATAATGAAGCGGGCCGCTTTGTCAGTCAGCAGCTCAAACGAAGAATGTGTGGTGATCACGAAGCCTTGTGGTCTCAATGTGCTTCGGTAATGAAAGCTTTTATCCTACCTGGTAAACTACTCCAGCTTATTCGATCCACTGAGCACATGGATTTCGTTGTCATTGGGATTATGCGAAGCAGACGGTCCGCAAAGTAACCTGCGGAAACGACTGAATCAATGAGTTGCGAATTTCAATCCTAATTCGATTAACTCTCATCGTCCACTTGCATGCCCTGCGAATTCAGCTGTTTATCCTAGGTTGTCATACTAAATCCATGCACCAAAGCAGATGTTTGCCTTGCGATTCAAGACTGCCGACTCTGACGGACCTACTCCAGAGCTACGTAAGTAGGGCACCACAGTACCAGCCAGCTAACCATACTGTTCTCCAAAACTTGGCGTGAAACAAAGGTGCCTGCTTCCTGGGGCGAGTACGTCTTCAGCAAGAGTAGTAAGGGTGTTT